GCGTCTGCTCATCCATCCATACACACACAGACATACACGGACACAGACTGACAGACATGCGTCTCTATCTCATCTCATCTTATGACATCGCGATTTAATTTACAACTGACTGCTCACGCATTCTGGGTGAGCTCCCGCTAGAGTACCATCACAGAAAAATTCTCAGATCCCGTTCAAGTAGGGCCGCGGCTTTCTTCTTCCTCTGGAATGGGTGATCATGCGTAGGTAGATACAACCCCAACACGGTTGGATTCCAACTGTATCGCTCCCACCTGCGTGGGGGGGCTATTAAAATAGTTTGGGGGGGCATTTCCTGGTGCTCTGCTCCGGCTTTCCAAACGCGAACTAGCATCGGCTTATTACTAGTATATCTCTATTTTTTTATGCTGGATCCCGGCACTGCCGCTGCTACGGTACCTGAGGGTTATTTGTTACGTTTATCACTTGAAACAAGCGCATGATAGTGTAGCTTACGGGGCAGGATACTGTATGCGTGCAGTGAAGAGGTACGCTATGTTAAGTAGGGATGAATAGATCGTCTCTCATCGGCCAGGATATCCTTTCTAGTGGGTATCTATAGTCACACGCATGTCCTCTCTGACGAGGTACATAGGGACCCGTACATACGTGGTGTAACTGCAAGTCGAGACATCCCTCCGCGCATACGCAATATCAATCCTCAAAAGTGTGTCTGACAATCACGCATAGTTTAATAACATGGTGCAATACGGTACGGAAGCTACCTAGTCAGATATGAAGGTTATCCGATACAGGATATCTCCCACGTCAAGGGCGACGTCACTATCATGGGAATAAAGTCTAGTCTAGACAAGGTTCTCTCGGCTTGTCAGGTCGCTTTCCGGCCCAAAAGTCCCCGGAATCTCGAATGCCCAGCCTGCAAGACGGGTGTTGGCGAGATGTCGGGCGCCTTGGCAACGATACGCCAAGTGAGCCGCATCTTGAGGCGAAAACAGACGGGGTGGTAGATTTAGGACCACATACATACCTACCTACCTACCTACCTTAGGTAGATACCTTATATCATATATAGATCACATTACCTAACCTGTATATTGCCAACACGACACGGGCTGCAACGACAGCAGATTGTGAAATGAGCGCCTTTGTTGAGAAAGTCTCATTCACCCAGCCTGTATCCATAATGCTGTGGATTCTCATCCTCCTGTCTGCTTTACCTGCGTAATTCCACCCCAAGCGCACTTACCTAGATGCGTGTGAGATCTTCGGCCCATAACTAGACGTGGTAAAGGGCGGCCTGGCCTGGCGTTGGGCGAGTGATAAACGGGTGACTCCAGTGAGCAGCGTGACTTTACTTCCCGTGCCGTGTCGTATGTAGCATGTGTAGTGTATACTCACGGTCTCGAAGCTGAGGTTCGACGGAAGATCCCGCTAAAAGTCCTCGATACTTCCTCGAGACTTCGCCGTCACAAACCAAGCTTTCGTGGGCCGTGTTGCCATACTTACCTACCTACCTGTACATAATATTGTAGTTACCTTAGGTACCCTATTACCCAAACTTACCTAGGTACTAATTCTATTACATACCTTGAACTTCAAATGGGCAACGAGGCCTTTGCTTTCTTCTGCTGCCCCTTCCCCCCGTCCTCCACCCCTTACCAATTGAGTTATAATAGGGAATCCCTAACTAGAAGTAATTGGGTTGAGCTATAATAACTACCTAGGTACCTAGGTTAGGTAGATAAGTAGGTATCTAAAGGCAAGTATCCTTGAACTCACTCGCCTTCCCTCCCCTCCCTCTCGTCTTCTTTTCGCGCGAGAGGTGGATTACGGAAGGATCTGGCGAGAGGGAGGGTAGGGTGTGGGTGTCGTACGGGGTTATGTTAGGTTAGTTAAGGTTAGGTTAGAGGTTGGTAGGTAGGTAGGCAGGTAATTGATGAACGAACGACTGTGCGCTTGCTGCTGCCCTGCCTACGTCGGTGTGCCACGCTACGCTACAGGAAAACTTGCGTCTTTGCTGTTTCGAGCTGGACGCATCGGATCGGGGCTTTGTTGGTTTACGTAGTGTGGTTAGTTACAATACAATACAATACAGGGTTTCCTTTTTCCTTAGGTTTTTTTGTTGCTTTTTTTGCCTTTCTTCCCACTCATCTGGTTCCGTCTCCGACGCCGCAACTCCCATGTCCATGTCCATGCCCTGTCATGTCATGACACCCTTCTGTCCACCCCATGTAGGAGGTAGGTAGGTAGGGCTGCTACGGTTGTCGCCACTTATTAGCCGGATAGGTAGATGAATAAGTACATCGTGTGGTATTATACATCGAATATATACCTATATATATATATAAATTACATACATACCTACCTCGCACATATACGTGCATACATACGCACGTCCATCCGCATGCCGTACATGTCGTCCATGCAACGCGTCTGTTTGCATTGCGTCGAATGCAACCGTTCGTACATGGACTGGACTAGCAGCCCCATATACCGGTAGGACGCAGTGACTATCTACCGTAACTTGGGTGGGTGGGTAGGTAGTATATACTACTACGTAGGCTAGGTAGGTAGGTAGCAGTGCTAGGTAGTTGCCTGCCGGGTTAGCTCTCGATGCTGCATGAGAAGAAAAGAGAAAAAAGCTTGTTCCATCTTGGCTATTTGTCCCGTAGCGTTGGACCGGCTTTTCCTTGCGGTTCGCTTGGCCCGGATGGGGGATGATCTGCGAGGTATGCCTACTCGAAGGTCGAAAGGAAGGGGGGAGAGGGAGGGGGGCTCTAGAACTAGGTTCCTTTCCTTCGGTGCTACGGTAAGATTCCTTGATGAATTAGGGCTAGATGGCGGTTAGTGATGACTCTGGCTCTAGCCCTGGATTGTTCCTCCTTGCTGTCGGCGATATGGTATCGGATCGCGTACTGCTGAATTGGTAGAGGAGAAGGAGGGAAGGGATGGGGAAGGGGAAGGGGGAGGGGGGATAATTTTTGGCGTGGACATGTGATGGCTTCGCGTGGGGTGAGGTACTGCAGATTAGTTTCTCCTCGGAATTCCCTTTGGAAAAAAAAACGCCACGGAGAGTAACTCGGCATGAAGATGCCGATGCCGATGTTGATATCTTCTAAGGGGGTTCAGCCGGATGTTGTTCGGCTTAGTGAGTACTTTGCTTTGGTTAAACCCGAAATGGATAGATATGATTAATACATATTACTCAGGAGCATTTGAGGTGAGGCTGCCGTGACCTCCTTGCATGCTTAGCAGCAGGCAAGGTGAATGGGATTCTCATGTGTCCGTGTAGGCCGACTTAACCCGGGGTTCGGGTGATGCCGGATTTCCCGGTGTCGTGTCCGGTTCATCCCGGCTCAGAGACCCGTTCCGAGACCTCCCAGAATCATCCCCCCCCTGAGACGGCGGCCGAGAAGATGTCGTTCATGCCGGTCTATGTTCACTTTGCGGATACGGAAACGGGATGCGGTGTTATGTACTCTGATAAGAAGTTCCTTTTCCAAACGCTATCTGGAGTAAGCAGTCGGAACCATCGTGTTATAATTTTATAGACATCAAAGTCGATGTTTTCTTTTGTATTCTGACTGGGCCATGATACACTCCCCTGTACCATATTCGCCAATGCTTGAAATATTTCGTGAGATTTGTATGATCTGAGACGGCTAGAGAGGATGATAAATCCCTAAAGGGTGGAGTGCATGATACCTAATTACCTTAGGTAGTTTTACTCGAGTTCTTCTTTCCTACAAATAAAACTATTTTATGTTGTTATACAATGCCTATTATCATGGTACTGTCCGTGAAGGTCATTATAGGTGGACATGGCAACGTCAACCACTCGAGTTGACAACGTTGTACCTTTTGGAGACGTAGCAGTTTGATACCAGGTAGGTATCTTCAGAGCCCTTACAATGGTTATATACTAATATAACATCCACCTACTTCTAAAGCAACCATTAGGAAAAAACAAGGTCTACATTTTACCATGGCTTCGCTATCGTTTATTTGTATATATACTTATAATACATTATATAAGTTTATCTATTTTCTTGGAGACAGAGCATGAGCTCACGTGCCTAATCTATGCTCTAATGCCATTTAGAGGCCCAAAATAACGGTAATAGTTTAGGTAGGTAGACATGAGCTCTAGCAGTATAAAGTGCGTAGGAGGGATCCACCTGTAAAAGCGAGGTTATGTCAGGAGTCTCAAGTGAGACTCCTGACAATGGCCTTCCATTTTCTGGGTCGAATACATAAAAATAGGCAATAAATAGAATGCTTTCATGTCAGGGATATGTGGATATTGTAAGGATCTATTGTCTATATAAAGGGTAGCCATCTCCCTTGAAGGATGTTAGAAAGTTAGGCGTTAGTAGATATCTACAATAGACAGCATACTACGTTCCTAACACTCACTCTGTATACGACATCTATCACGGGCATAACCTGATATTTTAGAACGCTTTGATATGGTAAACACATATTTAAAACCCCTTTAAATAGCCAAGAAAGCGGTAGTCCGTCAGAAGAGCGTTAAATTATCTATACTTCTTCAGCGACAACGCGAGGAAATACATAGCAGACTTATTGCGGCAAGAGCAAGAGATATCATCTTCCGCGAACATGGCATCGAGCGGATACATCCTTTCGTCTAGAGTACCCCCTTCGAGGGAGACAGAGCTAGAGTTCCGCTTGACATAAGAGATCCTCCTCCACTTCCTGCCTTTTGCATTCCGTCTCCCACCTGCCTATAGCATTACTCTATCTGGTCCTTAGATGGCTCATAGGTAATCTGTTTGTGTAGAGATTGGGTTTACATGCACTTTCCCAACATCACACGTGCACATACGAAAGTATATATAAGGTAGGTAGGTAGGTAGGTGACGTAGAGCCGGGATATAAGTACATTAGATTAGGTACCTACGGATCGTACCTTACCTAGGTACAGTTCAAAATTTTGAAACAATTTCCTCCCATGTGTGCTACATAAAGGTTATTACCAATCCCTAAATCATAACCAAGGTCCCATAGCTCAGTTTGGTTCAGAGCGTCGTACTAATGTTTCGTTTCGAAATATCTAGTAATGCGAAGGTCGGCAGTTCGAGCCTGTCTGGGACCACTTCTTTTTTTTCGATTTTCTTTTTCTTTCTTTAATTTCTTTTATAAAAAAAGTTGGTATTTAGCTTAATCTTAACCTTCTTTTTTTTGGTGCGGGTTAGGGAACCTAAAGACTAACCAACACGCCTTTCTGTGTTGTCCCATTTTCTACCTAGTAAACTCTACGTCTCTCCTACGGTACCTATATTATTCACGCCGAAATTCTTGATCCTCCTGTCCGGCGTGACCAAATACCTCGAAAGGCTAAGGTTAATGCACCTTTAATGAATAAATGGAATGGTCTCATTGAATAAAGGGGACATACTTAGGTACTTATCATACCTTTGGAATTGTATAGGCTCATCATTATCAACACAGGTATTAGCCTTCTGGAGACCATACAATAAGTGCGTACATAGATAGCTATTAACTAATATCTGATCCTGTGATCATCTTCAAGGTTGCTGAGCGATGGTCGGATTTATTCTAGGGTATGTTCTAAACGGTAGGGTCACCAGAGCTTAACACGTAATATATCTACAGGATTGATAGCGTCAATTAGACTAAAAGCATAAGTGATTGTGAAGTATATCTACGTGCATGTGTCTATCCCTATCCTATACATCTGTTCTTTGAGACAGATTGGAAGTAAGGAGGCCTAAGTTTTACTGGTTGAGAAGGAGGTCACCCATCGTGACGGCCTTGGAGCCTTATATGTTGAAGTGTGTTTCTAGTTAATCCTAATCAATATACGTACCTAAGGTAGGTAGGGAATTAAACAATTCCCGGTATTGTATACCTAAAATGTAGCCTGTCATAAACGTTAAATAAATGGGAAATCGATCAGCAGCCCAGCCCCTATGTACGTTGCATAGATTACTAATCCGGTACATCACCGGCTAAACCCCGTGTACTATTTACAAACGAACCCCCTATTCCGAGCCCTCATATATCCATCCCATCCCCCCCTCCCCACCCCCCTGCCTCTCTCCCTCATCCGCAGAAGTAGCCAGCAACCCCACGCTCACATCGCTAAGCTCCGGCCGCGAACCATCGTGCCAGAAGACAGCGGCCCCACAGCGCGGGCCTAACCCGCGGAAGACGTCGGGGGAGCTCTCGTAAATGCGCAGCGGAGGGGGGAAGAGGGGGTAAGTAAGTCCGCTGGAGGGTGGGAAAGTCGATGCGAAGAAGAGCGTGGGAAGGGGAATTTGAAACCGAAAGCGCAGGAGGAGGAGGGGGGGCTGGTGCAGGGAGCAGAACGAATATACTACATACCCCTGGGCACGAACACCCACGCCTGTATCCCGAAGCGGCACGCGCGCGTCGAAGCGGGACCCCCCGCGCTCCGCGGGGCGCAGCCACCACTTGTCGTCTTGTGGGGTGGCAGCAACCGACGTCCTTCGGGGAGGTCGTGGGCGGAGCTACGAGGTCCGAGAAGCTGGGGTCGGGGAGGTAGGTAGGTAGGTAGCTCGCGGCGTTGGGGCGCGTGATGGAGAACCGGGCTGTGTTGCAGCGGCAGTGGCAGTGGGCTTCGAGGATGGGTTTGCTGTTTTCGGTTCCGGTTCCGGCTTCGCTGTTGATGGTTTGGTTACTAGGAGTAGTAGTAGTAGTAGTAGATGGGAAGGTCTCCCAGGTGAGCTTGATAAAGGAGGACAGACCGCCGTCTTTGGTGCTGGCGATGCTGATATGCAGGGCATACCTCAGAAGCGGCTCCTCTTTCCCATCCTACTCCATCCGCTCCAATACATCCGATGATTGTACCCGTAACTACCTCACGAGGCTCATGGGCTCCATTACTACCATTAGCAGAGCGTCGGAATACATGACAGCCACAAGTACCACAGAAGTAACGCCGAGGAGTAGCAGCAGTTGACGACTGCGCGGATCCACCCGAATATGCTGTAAGCCCATCAAAAGACTGCCGTTCATGGATAGGCGCGTAAAATACCTACGCATAGTATCCCGGAAATATGGCGGCACTCGTAGCAATGGGCACAATTCAAAGCCCAGAGGTCCGGGCTCCGACCCAATTCTGCGTAATATCAACGTCTGCTTTGCGGCGCCGCAGAGGCAGGAAATGTACGCTTCGGTACTCCGCGACGTCGAGGGCGAAGAAGAGTCGACGTTAATTTCATACACTAATAAACCTCGCCTTGCCGCGTGGAATCTGGAGCAGGAAGCTATTGAATGAAAAACAGCTGGGTTAACTCGGGCATCCCCCTTTTACTGGTGGCAAACTACATCCGAAGTTTTTGAAAGACAAATATCATTGGTTAACCTTCACACTACACGAGCTATTATTTCTCTCAATAGAGCTTCATATGCTATACACGGCGGTGAGGGGAATGCAGTGTACTTTTTTACTGGGTAAGGGAATGATAAACCTGACGAGCGATAGTCGGAGTGAGCCTCACGTATTATCTGGATGCCTAGACGGAGCCTGCAGCGATTGGGAACATCAAGTTGCGCATACACGCGTTGGTATAACAGAGCCTCGGCCCGTCGAAGCTAGGCATTGTAGTTGGAGTTGGAGATACGATGGCCCGCCTGCTATGCGTGATGACGCTGACCATCTTCGTACTGGCATCACGGAGAGAATACGACAACTATTTGATACACGGCACTTGGGGACATATCAAAATCTTCAGATTAAAGGAAATAAGCTAGGATCGGCAAGTATAACTGACATGGTTCTAAGTTGCCTTCGCAGGACAATCACTCCAATATCCCTCCTAGTCTTTTTTTGCACCGCATTCCCCAAAGTTTCCCCTCCGCCATCTTCATTAGTATGGTGATATACATGAGTTTGGCAAACGACATCGCTCGCTCTGCTAGACTCTTCTACTTTTGGATGAACCAACATCAGTGGAGATTTTCTGCGTTATGACTTCGTAAAAAAAAAAAAAAAAGACGCAAGGTCAAATTAGGAACGACGAACCGAGGCGTTTAGTTGGTTGCCTCGTTGCCCTCGCTAGCCGGCCTAGGAACAGACTTCTCAGCTTCCTTTTCACCGTCCTTGCTTGAAGATGCTTCCTGAGGAATAGGGTCGTCTTTCACTAAGTTCTTAGTCTCCTGGTTAGCACCCTCAACGTCGGGATGAGGTGGTGCAACGCCTGCAGCGGCCAGCTCGTCTACTGGCACTTCGACTTCGTTTCCATTGGCGTCTATCACGCGCGTTCTCGTTTCGTACTTGGTTTTGAATTCGACTTTGCCTTCGAGAGCCTTGACTTGCTCTTCGTTGAGGAGGTTGCCATCTTGGTCTCGATATTCGACTCGCTCCTCGCGACTAAGCACTTTTTGACCCTGGGGTTCGAACTTGGGCGCACCTGAGATACCTGCATTTGCGGCGTCTTGCTTGTTATCAGCTGCGGGTTTTGGTGCCTGATTTTTGTTGTCAACAACGGGTTGAGAGGTTTGGGCGACTGGAACTGAAAGGCTTGTGTATGCTTCGTACTATACAAGAGATCTGAATTAGTCTACCGCTTAATTGACAACTTGTAAATCCTCATATATGCAATTTTATATCCGTAACCAATATCCAAATAGGAATGGGAACACGAATGTTCAACTTCAAACTCGTTCTCTTGACGGCATGCCATGGGGAGGGATACTTACGCTCTCTAAGAAAGTGTTGCAGTCCCAATCCCAAGTGTTGAACAACTTGACACGATTGCACTCAGCCTTAGTCCAGGCATTTCCATATGCGAGGGGTGAATATAGAGCAAATACGATCGCAGCAACGGCTAAGAGGGCCACCACGCTGGCCTTGTTGATAATAGCGTTCCCTCTGACTGCCGCGAACCGAGCTGTAGCGAAGTCGACAAATTGACAAAATGCTAGGACGGCGAAGACCAACGCAGGGAAGTAGTGGTGTAAGAAAAGTTGACGTCCCATCAAGAAGAAGGGGAAGTAGTGGAAAGCCCATCCGAGTACCCAGGTTCCGATCTCGTAATCGAATCGCTTGAAGGTGAGATTCTCGTAGTCGTTGCAGCTGCGTTGCCATCGAAGGATCGCAATACCCTTGAAGAGCACGTAAACAACAACGGCAAGAGTAGAGGTGTACCATACGATGGGGTTGCCCATGAGGTAGATCTGGCGGTGGTGTTTACCCCAGAAGTTGATACCACGACGGAGGATCGGCCAAGATTCGGGACGAGAATCCCAGGCGTGAGACTCAACCAAACCCGCGTTAGTCTTCCACATAACCTTCTGTAACTCCCAGAATTTGCCGAGGAACCCAGGGTTAGCGTAGTTGACTTTCTCAGCATCGCTCGCTAATTGCGGGTGGGCATTCGACTCGATATACCATAAGCTGTTAGGAAGAGTACCACCTTTCGCACAAGTAACTTCTTGCTGCTCAGAAGCCCAATCCGGTAACTTCACCTTGTGAGAGAAGAGAACGCAACCAGTCATAACGTGGACGAGTCTGAACTTGGTTTGGATGGTTCGGAGACGTTCCTTGGCGAGGGGTCCGAGAGACTGCTTCTTGGCAATTTCAACACGGAACAGATCATTGGCATCACCGGGAAATCCTTCATATCCATATGCAGATACTTCATTCTGCCAATCAGCTTCGGTAACTGGTGGACGAACATCGTGAGAGTGAAGACGACGATGGGTAGCCAGGTGATATAGTCGGATAACGTCTCCATTCTTGACGTAGTTCTCGGTGATATTCCTCATAGTGTCCCAAGCGCCGGTGCCGTTGATGGGCTCGCCGTTGATATCAAGTGGCTGAGTCTGGTTTTCGATCAGAAACAAGTTGTTATCGTCCTTGTGGGGATACAGGGTGATCTGCTGTTGCTGACTGCCGGTGGGGTACATAAGGGGGTGAGAATGAAGGTATCCTCCCTGAGTGTTGACATGGCGGATGGTAACACGGCTGCCAAATGCAATGTCGACTGGCACATCTTGCATGCCCTTGTTGTTCAAGGTAGCCTGAAATTCGGAGCTCATGAAACCATCTCCATCGCCAGGGTTCGAAAGGCAGATAAAGTGGATAACGAAGATACCCATGTAGATGGTAATGGGGACAATGATCAAGCAGAAAGCACGGGCCAGGAAGTGCTTCGCAAAGATGCGAAGAGTAACAGTCTTGGTGTCGCCAAGCAGCACCCACAATTGTATAAGAGTCAAGGTTCCAACCCAGGCAATTGTGAAAAGGCCGACCCATTTGATGCTGACGGTGATTCCCATCCCCACGCCGGTCATTAAAAGCCAGAACCACCACCCCGCATCGAATGCCTTCGAAGGACCCAATTCATGTTGGTTGGTGAAGGAAGTGAAGGCAAGCGCAGTAAATGCGGTAGCACCGACTAGCGGAGAGTCGAGGAGAATCAGACGAGCTTGGGTGAGGAGACCATTCTCTGTGATATAGGTGAGCGCGAGGTTCGATATGAAGAACTTAGTAGAGGAGAGAGGGGGGAGGGGGAGAGAGAGAGCTTACCAAAAATGAGAAAAGCGGCACCCATGGCGGCCGTAGCCGTACGACAACCAGCAGCCTTCAGAGTCAAAAATATAGTCGGGATCAACGCAATACCGCAAATGGCAGGGTATAATCGCATAGCCACGTAGGGAACACCAGCTTCTATATACTCCTTGCCGATCTCCTTGAAGTCGAAGTCGCCCTTGAAACCGGCAAGCCATCCAAAAAGTGTGATAAGTAGCTTCGCCAACGGCGGGTGCACGTCCATGAAGAATTTACCCTTGATATACTTTGTCGCGAATCCACCAAAGCTATATAGAGTAAGTGGTATTAGAATCGGCAACTTCCATAGCTATGCTATAGTAGGGGACAACTCGGTAGAAAAACTTACTGTACTTCGTCGAAGACGACACTAGAGGGTTGGTAGATGCGGAATAGTCGCACAATAGCACCAACAATAGTCAGGATTATCATGACCTGGTAGTCGGAGAAAGGAAGTAGAAAGACATCATTGTCCTGGACACCCTCCGAAGTATAGTCATCGTGCTTAACATGTTCCTTAGGGTTCGGAGGTGTATAAGGACCGCCTTTGGTAGCGGGTGGCTTGGCCGAACTTGACCTCGCCATGTTGAGTCGGGATAGACGAGATAATAGCTGCAGCTATATAAACTTGGACGAGGTTGAATTGGGAAATTGGGACGAGGCTAGGAAGAAAAGAGGTACTCGTGGCCTCTCGTGGCCTGAACTTTTCTGGAACCGCTCACGGCCGAAATTGAATTGCTTTGGCCGTGTAACAAAAAGGCCTTTTTTTGCGTTACGCGGCCAAAAAAAAAAAAAGGAAAAAAAAAAGACACGGAAGAAGTGAATTCAGGTTTTATTAACGAAAGTCAAGAAGTAGAACCGATCATTATAAGACTATAGGATAATGGAAATCCCATTCAAAAGAGGAGGGACGATTAAGAATATTGAGAGACTTCCCCCCCTTTAAAATCACAAGTAATCGAAAATGCGCAAATGCGGCGAAACAGATTATGAGAAGGGCTCTGAAGGTGATTTTTAAAGGGGTGTGGTGCTGTGGTGGTGTTGTGGTGGTGCCGTGGTGTTGAATGCGGAATACGACCTTCAGATTTATTTTTGAGCTTCGAGTTTAGTTGCACACTGCACACTGCACCCAAAACCAGCAATCTTCAAAATTCATTTGCATGGTTCATCCACGTAATGGTCTTGATGCTACAGTGGCCTCAACCAGATTGGCAGATTGGCTCCAGGGGTCCCAAAAAAAGAATTCAGCTGCCTTTACCACCTACGGACGCTAATTAATTCGCTACAAGCCTTGTGAAAGCCGCGCTAACGGATGCACCTAAAGGTCTGGAACGAATGGAAATTCGACATGCCCCGCAATTCCGTAATTGACGAACACGAATACATTATCTAAATGGAGACGTATTCCAGGTACGTGAATTGAGATGAATCTCATAGGTACAAGATCTAAGTTAGACAAGTAATACAAATTTACTGGAGAAAACATACAAAATGTACAAGGATTTATTTATTTTTTTGTTCATGGAAAAATATAAGGAGACAAAAAGAAAAAAAATCCAAAAAAAAGAAAGAAATATTAGCATCCTCCCGGGTTGACTATCGAATTCGTTCTGTTCTGTTATCGAAAAGTCCAAAAAGTTAGGTCCTAACGGTACAAAAGTTCCAATGCGATTTGAAACCCCAGGTTAAGTACCTACAATTTGGCTATTTGATTGGCTTATCCTGCGGGCCATGTATTAGTCCGAATACGGTACAGCGTACAATACTTAGGTACCTAAGTAGACATGGGTAAAACTGACCTTTGTGATATTTTGTTAGAGCTTCTTCACTACGACATCATCGCGCAATCAGCCAATCCTCAATTACTGCAGCCTCCACCATCGCGTTTAAATCTGCATACTTCGAGGAAGGCTCTCCGAAATTGCCATCAATATGGCTGCCGATACTAATGGCGATGCAGCAGCGGTTTTAGATGATATTAAACCACCTCAGGGTGTCGTCTTACCACCCAAAGAATTTAGAAGTAAGTCTAATCATCATCCCTCTATTTTAAAAGTCGCGTTGAGCTGACCTATCTTACCTGTCCATAGCTATCCTCGAGAAGACAGCCGGATTTGTCGCCCGAAATGGTATCGCATTCGAAGATCGCGTCCGAGAAAAAGAGAAGAACAATCCTAAATTCAGTTTTCTTAGCAGCACCGACCCATACAACCCTTATTATCTATGGAGATTAAGTGAGATCAAAGAAGGTCGCGGTACTGCTGTAGCTGCAGGCAGGACAGGTGAAGCTGCTGCTGTTGTCGAAAAGAAACCTGCTGGTCCTCCCAAGCCTCCGGATTTCCAATTCTCCGCGCGTATGCCCAACATCAGCACCCAGGATCTCGAAGTTGTGAAACTGACTGCGCTGTTTGTTGCAAAGAATGGCAGGCAGTTTATGACCACTCTCTCCCAAAGAGAGGCTGGTAATTACCAGTTTGACTTTCTGAGACCGAACCACAGTCTTCACAATTTTTTCCAGCACCTTATCGATCAGTACTCGATGCTCCTACGAGCTGGCGGCATCGATGGCGAAGGAGGAAAGGTTCAGCAAGAGAGGATTGCTGAACTTCAACACAATATCGACGATAAATATCACATCCTAACCCGCGCCCGACAAAGGGCTGAATGGCTGAAACACCAAGAGGACGAGAAGCAGAAGAAGGAAGAGGAAGAAGAGAAGGAACGACTATCCTACGCTCAGATCGACTGGCACGACTTTGTCGTTGTCGAAACCGTTGTCTTTACCGAAGCCGACGACCAAGCGAATCTACCCCCACCGACTTCTCTCTCTGAACTGCAATATGCTTCTCTTGAACAGAAGGCTAGGATTTCAGTCAGTGCTAACTTGCGTATCGAGGAAGCGATGCCTACAGACGATGATAATGCCTACGGCGGATATGCGCAACCACCAAATTATAACCTTCCTCATCACCCCGCCCAACAGGCGCAACATCTACCGGGAGCTCAACCACCAGCTCCTCAAGGCGCGTATCAGATGGCACCACCGCCACGTCCAGGTGGTACTCAAGAGGACGAGGAAACACAGCGGATTCGGGAAAGAGAAGAGGCTCGCTTGCGTATGCAGCATGCCCAGGCTGAGGCAAAGGGTGGCGCGGCTCCGATGAAGATCAAGGAGAATTATGTTCCCCGTGCTGCTGCGAGAGCGGCTAACCGACAAGGCACCCAGATGGCTTTGTGTCCGAACTGCCATCAGCAAATACCGATGAACGAGTTAGAGGCGCATATGAGGATCGAGTTACTAGATCCTCAATGGAAAGAGCAGAAGGCCAAAGCCGAATCACGATATGCGACTACGAACCTGTCACATTCCGACGTTGCCAACAACTTGAAGCGATTCGCAAGTCAGCGAGGAGATTTGTTTGATGGCGTCACCGGACAACCAATTTCGGAAGAAGAGATGGCGAGAAGAAAGCGAGCAGCACTGAATAGCTTCGACGGCAACCCCGAGGGTAGAAGCCAGGCCCATATGAACCACATGCAGAGCGTAAATGTCGACGAACAGATTGCACGCATTCATCAGAGGTTTGCTAAAGATAATCAACAAGGTCATTAAGGCCTAGCCTGGTGATCGGTGCGTTTTTCAACAGCTGGCCATGTGCTGCTGATAGAGGAAGCGAGTCGTGCCTGGAGAATCCCGAGGGCAGTAATTGGCAGATAGACGAGATGTGTTCGCCACTACTGCTAATATTTATTCCCGTCTGTGAACAAAACTCAAGAAGTTCCTTCACGACCACGCCGCATATTCGTGGGAGAGAGAGAGAAGTCAGGGAGGGAAACGGGAAACAGGACCCAACCACTGGAAGGCTAAAACAGGTAAACAATACCCAAAAAATTTAATAGTCGGTCTATATTCAAAATTGCTCATACTCTTTAATACAGCGCTGTGCTCCTTGAAACGTGTTTTGCTCTCGAACTCTCCGTCGAATTTTCCCCCGTCTCTATCATAAGTTGGGGTTACATATACGAAGAGGCCCCCCTTGTAAAACTAACTCGTGAAAACAGCTTTTGCTACAGCAGTAGCATGCTATATAAGGGGACGTTAACTGGGTAAAAAAAACAAGGTGACTTGACTGACTGTAAAACTCGTATTCGGAAACGTCTTATTAGACGAGGCTTGGTGTTATACGCGTTAACTGCGTACTTTTTACTCTTTGTATAACTATACCTACCTAACCTAAGGTACCTAAGGTATTCTGGGTGCTCATCGGACGACGAGGCGTTTGTGGGATCAAAGTAAAGTGGTTTTGGGACAAAAGCACAGCTCACCCACTCAGGTGGTTTTATCACGATACATTACATTACATTAATACTAAGTCACGTTCCGATGCAATCCAGTTCCACACTGCCTTTGTGAATAGTGGTTATTTCAATGACAGCAGTACCAGGTACGTACTGGCATAGTAGCTGTTCTATTCTGCTAAAGTTATTATTGAGACGAGTTGAGTCTGCCCAACTCTATTTAATTTAATTATTATTCTACACGGCACCTAGACCATCATCGTCACCATCGTCATCCGACTCTTCGTTATCGGGGATGATGCTCTCGACGATCAAGTTACCCGACCTGCCAATGGTATCGGCCAGGGTGGACGCGGCGTCCGGCTCGTAGACGACGCGCGGCATGGGCGACGCGATGCGGAACTTGTAGTCGTGCTCGTAGCCCTCCGGCTGCTCCACGTCGTTGTCGTCGTCGATCTGGGCCTCTCCCCCCTGGAGCAGGTCGTAGCACTCGACAAAGGCGTACAATTCCTCCACCGTCGTCGTGCCCGCGAACCGTCGCACGATGCGCCCGCCCGCCTCGTCGGGCATCTTGAGGGCGAGGCGCACAACGTTCTCGGCGGAGGCCTCGGGTTCCGGAGCCAGGGTCCCCGCGCGCCAGCGTCGCCACTGCAGGCGCTGGGCGGCGCGGCGCTCCGCGGCCTTGGCGCGTTCGCGGGCTTGCCTCTCGGCCTCGGCGGCAGCGGCTTCGGCCTCCCTGCGCTGGCGGGCGCGTTCGCGATCCCGGGCTAGGGAGCGCTCGTACGCCGAGTCCTGCTCGGTGCGCAGGTTGCGGGCGACTTCGTTAGCGGTGCGCTCGGCGCGGGCGCCGGCGAGGTCGGGCGCGTACTTGTTGATCGCGGTCTGGATCTCGGCGAGGTAAGTGGCGGGGGGCAAGGGACCGCCTAGACGCTTGACGATGCTCATGCGGGTGCTGCCCTCCTTGGGGGTCAGACACACCAGGCACGAGAAGGGGAACTTGGTACAGTTGTACTCGGCGGCGACTTGGTACGCCTCGGAGTCGAGGACGTTGCCGCCCCACAGGATGATGTTATTGCTCGGGTCGTTGACAAAGTTGACGACGTCCGGCGAGAGTAGGGTCTCGCGCGTGAAGGACTCCGTGTCGTCGTGTTCGGGTGACATGAGCACTATCAGGAGGAACTTAAGCTCTTTTTTAGCTAGATCTAGGGCTTGCGCGAAACCGCCCTCGAAGAAAGGCAGGCTGTCATTTCCGTACTCCTCCTCGAATTCCCGCTTGAACCGAGCGGCTGTATCGCGCGGCATCAGCATGCGCCGGCCCATAGTGCCCTTCCACCCGCTCGTCATGCTCGTAGTTATCATGCGGGGCCGTATAGATGGGGGAAGGAATGCGAGTATGTACATGAAGGTGCGGACGAGCGTCGAGACGGCTTTATATCCAAGGTTGAATGGGGCGAATAGGATGGTTAGGACAAAGGGTAGGCGAGTAGTCGTCTGAGGTTGCGGTACGATCCTCGGAGCAGGATCTGGTCTGATCCGTGGTAGCGAATGTCCGAAAGGCCGCGCAGATGCTGAGAAGCTTTCTTGCAAGTTCTCGTGTCTCGCTGCTTGTCGGGGAATATCGTTCTGAGTAGCCATAGCTTCGGCTACGGGATCGGGACCTTCTCCATCAAAGAACTTCGCTATTGCTATTTGCACATTCCATTGCGACCTCTGTAATAATGGTACCGCATCCTTGATATCTTGTGCGGTAACCTGTGTATATTGTTCGAGGGCGGACTGCTGCTCCGGAGAGAGCTGGCCTATATCGAAATCGCTGTTGCCTGCCATCGTCTCGAAGTGTACGACTAAGCGTAGGATAAGTCTGGGTAATTCAATATTATGACCCCATGCGTCGTATGAATTAAATATTCCTTGAAAGCCGAGACTGTCTTATACATAGGATTTGGTGGGTTGAGATGGGTTGGTGGGCTCTGATAGACCTCAAGGTCTCAAGGTCTCAAGGATCAATTTTAACAATATTACGTAGCTTCTTCTTCCTTTTCTTCTTGCTACTGGGTTGCGATATATAACTGTAATATACCACTACCTGCGGTCGTGCATCATATCATCAGTTTGACTTTGACGACTATTAAAGATTCTGTGCTTTTGTTTTTTTAGGACTTGTTGCTGGATAAGGTAGGTAGGTAAACTTTGAATATGCAAGTTGGCCAAAGGTGACGACAAATAGGCGATCGGAGATTATTTTATGGAAGTTACCTAATAATTCTGTACATACGACGTGTATGTACTATGTAACTGCGGGCGGTTGTATGTACTTAGGTACCTATGTATTTCGACTCGAGATAAGGTACCTAGGTACCCAAGGGTATACCGTAAATTTCTCTATCTTCATGCACGTACCTAATTGTACATAGCACAATTATACTACAGTCTCTAATACCTAAGCTCCAAGGCTACGGACTTGTAACGGACATCGGGGGGGCCAATTAGTTCGTCTTCTTGTCTCTTAGTAATTTGCCCGCCCCGTCATCCCACTACCTCAAACCTGGAACTTCACTGCAACTTCTAACCGAACCTGCTTTAAACACGCCCGCATCGTATCTTTTTGTCCTTATCGTCAGCCTCACGCTACCCTACCAGACCTTCCAATTGATTATCCAGATTTCTGGTTACTACCCTTTCGGCCTTGCTGCGCGTTGCTATTTTACTTTATGGGCGGAAGCTCGCCCATTCTTGCCAGGAAAATGGGAGCGCTTTGAGGTGTCTAGTATGTACACAACTTTATTCTTCCTTCTTCAATTTTATCTCTTCTACTCTTCTACTCTTCGTCTCTTCGTCTCTTCTCTTCTATTGATCTTTCATTCATTCTTTCTGTCTCTCCTTCCCAAATACTGACAGTTCCTTGACCTCTAGGGGTTGTATCGACAGGGGCAGCTTTATCCTTTCCTCCTCCTGACTAACCGGACCTGGCTTAACAATAGGATTACCCCATGCCGAAAATACGAGAACACGCAAGTTCTACCCGATACCAATGGCAAATACGCGCTTCGGAACTGCCGATAGAGGAAGGCAAATGGCCTCCCCGAGGCCCAAAACGCGTGGTACGTCTTCAGTTTGCAGGAGTTGTTGGGCGCGTTATGGGCGTTCCTGCTGATCAGTCCATTTTGATATCATTTCATTATTTCATTTCTAACTTTGTTGATTGGCACTCGCTTAGACAGTAAGGACACGCTCTGTCGAAACGTTTTGATATATGGTCATTGCCGCTATGAAGACCAGGGATGCAATTTCAACCACAATAAGGACTCCTCTAATGCAATGGACAAGTAAGTAGTGTCGCTCTTCACCTGCTTTATACACCAAGTTCCATTTGTTTTTCAGGCCTGGCTGGCTCCCGCTTTGATTCCACCTAAGATTCCTACGGCGAGGCAAGAACAGATCTATATAAAACCAAGACTTCATTCAAACTAGGGCTCGTAGAAACTTTAGCCAAAATAAAATAACCATTCGATAATCGAGGCAACCGACATGGTAAAGGTTGGAAGTATCTGACCACTATTCGATATTTCCCTCTCTGTTCTAGAGTTTAAGCCTTTCTTGGCTGTCTTGATTGCTATTGGACATAATCAAAGAGGAAGACGCCTTTGGACTAGACGTTTGATCAAATACTTCCCTATACGATACATAGAAAACATGGCGGGAAATGGATGGAAAAGTCATGGGCGGATTGCTTCAGAACCTGCGGGCAACAAATCCCGATCAGGACACAAGTTGGGTGAAATTATTTTATCCCCTACGAAATTAGCATCGTATTGGGCTCGACGATACTTTAGAGACTCTGGACCCCCTACGAGAGAACCTGAGCCCCCTACGAGAAATCCCTTGATTCCTAACCAACCAAGCTTCTTACCTCGTCCAGGGACCCGAATTACCGTCGCTCCTAGTTTCTCTGCTCAGCATTCAGAGTCAGATACGAGTCCTACTCATAGAAGTTCCTCGGCTCCTCCGCGTTGGCCCTCACCTTGGAACGATATTCCAATAGGATCCAGTGCCGTGATTAAACCGGGATCTACAGCCAGCCTTGATGATTATAGTGCTTCATATTGCGTTGTTCGTACTAACTCATTATATAGCGGTTCCAAGAAATCACTCAACGTCGAGTCACCATCATTTACACCTACTCAGCTTGGAGGCAAGAAATCTAACTTCTCCACGAATGCGACGCCTTTTACGCCCAGGGGTGCCTCTACATGTGAGGATACCTATTTTCTGATGCCCATATTATGTATATACTTACATATCCAGCAGCTACAAGCTCGACGTTACAACAAGATGCAGGGGCCTCGTTGTATAAATCAGCGCCGTTTCCGGATTTTGCCCCTCAGAATTATGATCTAAACACTGCGGTAAGTCCAAGGAAGATAGATAGCCTCCGTATTAAAAAGCTGATAGGGTTCAGACTGCAACCAACGGTTCTGCGGATGGCGGTCCACTTGGCTACGATCCTTTTACTATGCCTAGTGTTAGCCAGGCACTCCCTTCAGCACAGTATAATCCATACGCCGATGATCACAACGCCTTGGCTGGAGCAGGTGCACCGTATTTCGCCGCACAAAATTCTTATACTACCCCTTCTCAACCCGTAAGACCCCGATCCTGATATATCCATGCAGATCTACTATCTAACCTATTATAGCTTCAATATCATCTCTATTACCCTATTACTACAGGGAGAGAGAATATGCAGCCTTACCAGCGGCAGGTGCATGACTTATTTCTTCCAGAGTCTCTGAGAGAGGACCTTCAGAAAAGATCCGAGGCTACTAGACAAGTGCTCCCGAGTCAACCTGGAGTACAGCTACCGAATCTCCAACATTACCATTCTCTAGTCCCTCTAGATACCAAACTTCGGAGCACAACCAGTACTTTTGGTCTCCCAAGCTGGGTGTTTAAAGCAACCTCTCGCAAGAACGGGAATACATTCTGCTTAAGACGTATCGAAGGTATGTGTCTCAACTTCATTTATGCGGTAATCCAACTAAGTAAACTCCAGGATTTCGCCTCACCAATGAGGAAGCTATTAAAGCCGTGAACTCATGGAAGAAGATTATACATCCTAATATAGTCACTACGTTTGAAGCGTTCACTACAAGGGACTTTAATGATAGTTCCCTTGTATTTGTTCACAGTTATCACCCGCTCTCAAAGACTCTGGCGGAGCATCACTTTGCCACAAACCGCTTCGGACGACCACCAGCACCTGTACCGGAGAGAACATTGTGGACTTATCTTGTTCAGTTAGCCAGCGCTCTCAAGGCCATCCACAAGGCTAAACTTGCAGCGCGGTGTATCGATATCAACAAGGTAATTTTAACGGAGAAAAATCGCGTCAGGCTTGGCGCCTGCTCGATTCTAGACGTTTTACACTTTGAAGCGCCTCGTCGGATTGAGGAGTTACAGCAGGAGGACTTTTACAGCCTAGGCCGCCTTATCCTGAGCATTGCGACAAATACACCACCACGAAATCTAACTGACCCACGCCCAGCCCTTGAACAGCTAGGTAGGGTGTATTCCCCAGAATTAAAAGAGAGAATATCTTGGCTGCTTAGCACTCCACAAAATGTAGCTACGAAAACTGCGGAGCATCTAGTATATGATATCGCTCAGCATATGGATGATATCCTGGTGGCATCATTCAATACCCAGGACGAAGTCACCGCTCACCTGGGCAGAGAACTCGAGAATGGCCGATTGGTACGATTAATGGCGAAGCTAGGTTCTATCAACGAACGGCCCGAATTCGATAATGACCCGAACTGGGCGGAGACGTCGGAACGCTATACTTTGAAGCTCTTCCGAGATTACGTCTTCCACCAGGTTGACGCCCAGGGTAACCCGGTTGTAGATCTAGGCCACATCATCAGCTGCTTGAATAAGCTAGACGCCGGTATTGATGAAAGGATTTATCTCACCAGTCGAGACCACCAATCAACATTTGTAGTCTCATACAAAGAGCTGAAGAAGCAAGTCCAGAGTGCATTCAGCGATCTACTCAAAGGGGCTAATAAGGCACAGGCCAATCGCTACTAGAAGGAGCGCAATGGCCACTATTCAAGATCGGAAAACTGATCTTTTATTGAAGTTGGGGGAGGAGGAACAACGTATAGCCCGGTTAAGTTGACGAACTAAACGAGTACCGGAAAACGAGAAAGGATATTGGAGGAGCTTAGGGAACAGCACCATATTCTGAATTTGAAAGGGTCAGGGATGCCTATAAGGAGCTCCGCGGTGAGCATGTTGAACAATACACGATAAGATAGGATATTCAAAGCGAAACTTGTCCGGAATTCATCAGCACTTGCAAACGACACATAGAAGGACCAAGGAGCCGAAACCCCTGCACTCGAATTCAGAATGAAATTATTAGCATAAATTCACCAGAAGATCTAGGCATTCTTCCACGCGCAGACAGAGGGTCACGACTTCGAATCCATTTCCAGCCATCGACTTGGAGTCAATCCGAATCGGGAAATCCACGTGCTATATTGGACTATATTTGCGTTAATCAGTTGAATACCGCCGATACATAGCAAGAGATGCACCACATAGCGCTCCTCTTTCAGGTATTAGCCTCGCGATTTGGTTTGTTGCCCATTTCCCCGCGGTCGTAAGACGGGGTTCAGCTAGGCTAGCTACGAAGGAAAAGGACACACAACATTTGCGATTTGTTATTTCCAGAGAAAAAAAAAAGAAAAAAAAAGGGAAAAGAAAGATTTTCGGATCAGTATGTGGGTTTGAAGTGGAGGATCACGTGTGGATGAAGCCTCTACGATCAGAAAAACATAACTATCTCCCCCAGGTATAAAGTAGTAGAACAAAAACAAAGTCTCTTATCATTCAGAAATTACCTAGATGTTGTCGATAGGGGCGAGTGGTTGTGGTGCTGTGTTGTGTTGTGACATGATCGATGTGACGTGATGCTTAGATGCGCAAATTAGTTTGATGTGTAGGTATATATCCATTCGATGTTACAGCCATAAAATTCTATTAGATGACACGGTAAGGGCGCTTGTATATCACCCGTGTGTGTACGTAGGTACGTAATTAAATACAATCAGACTGTTCACCTAATACTCCTATCACGACGGCGTTTTGCGACCTTCTTAGTATCACAGGGGTATCATATGTGTTCTTAACCCGAGGTCAACAGGAACTAGGTAAAAGGAAGGGAAAATCCGCTTAACAAGCACTACGTCAAACCTAGTTTCTCAAAGGTTTAATTAAACCCACGTTATGGATTCGTTCATACAGAGAGAGCCAAGGGAAATGAGATTTCCTCTCCACACTAGGTAACAAAAGGTACACCCTAGCAGGTAGAATAGCCCATGGCCCCCCTTGCGTGCCAACATCTCATCACCTCCAAGCATATCGGCACGCCCGTTCACTGCTTCATATTCTTCTTATTGAGGCGTTATATTCGCGTTGACTTTTAAGGTTTGACTTATGTCATTCACAATACTGAACATTCCAGGTATCTCTCTACACCGATACGCCCAGAAGACATCCCGAGATCCCACACCCGTGCTCGTCATTGATTCGAGACGACCATCCCCAGGGTCCTAATCCTCCGATTGTTGCCCGAAGGGATTCTCAATCTCTTCGCTTCCGTCTACCGGGCTGATCACCACCAGTAGAGTACCCCGAGCGACCACTAGGCCCAGCGACCGAGTTGCCTCTTTGCCTTCATCATCTGCATAAGACGTACGTATATCAGTTTCTACCCTCACGTGACACATGAAAAAAAGCAGGTTTATGAGGGGATATCAGGCCGCTGAGGGACTTACCTCGCATGACCTCTTGTACGTCGTCGAGAACCAAATTCATCAGCGCGTCGTAACCCTTGAGCGTGCCGGTAACTAAGTATAGCGATAAGAGGTTAGCTCACATTTGGGGTGTCTACGTGTAGTGTAGTATAGTGTAGGACGTGGTAGCTTAGAGTGGGAGGGCGGATATATAATAAGACCTATGAACAGACCTTCTCGACCGCCGTTGAACTTAACGGTGATTCGCTTGTCTACGTATTTGCTCAGGTCGAGGATGTTCTCTTTCTTTGGACGTTCCCGCTCTTGTGGTGCACTGCCGCTAGCGCCCGAGTCAGCTCCGTGTCCACCTCGGCCACCGCCTCGTCCGCCCCGCGCTCCGCGGGGATGTCCGCCACCTCCTCGGCCACCGCGGAAGTGACCACGGTCGGCCATTATGTAATATAGATGTGGGTGTGGGTGTGGGTGTGGGTTCGGTTTAAGCTGGTAGAAGTGTAGTAGTATTCCTTAAGGATTGCCCAGCAAAGCTGGAGTGCGGAGAAGGAGGAGGAGGAGCTTTCGGATCGGCCGAAAAAGATGCGGTGAAGAGGAAGATAGGGAGACAAGGAGGGCAGGGAGTCCGGGTACTCGCGGAGACTAGTTTCGGAAGCTTGACGGATGCAGCGATAGAGGGGGGGTTCGCTGAGGTCTGGACCGTTCGGTAACGAATCGGTGTTGTAGGTTTCTATGAACACCGTTGCAATGGAAAGCGGCAAAGGAGGTGTTGAGATTGGATGAGGTTATCGCCGGGTGATGCGAACCTTGTAATAATTCGGACCGGGTTTCTGCGCCTTTAGTTCAGGGTTATTTTTTTTTTCTGTCAGCTAATAGGTGCATCGGAATACGCAGCCACAAATCCGAATCACTCGTTTATGTTAATGCGTATAAGACGCCAAGTGGCGGGTGTTATGTCTGTTTTCTGCAGTTGGTAGGTTTGCAGGTTTGTAGGTTACTTGTCGTCGATCATGAAATTGAAGTATGGAGAACTCGATTGCTTTTTTTATGATAGGTACCTAGGTACGTACTAACGAAATATACTTCGTAATCTCTGTGGCTTTAGACTGGACAACAAGTAAATTAGTGGAACCTCTCTATAAGGCTATTCTCTAATTGACTCAAGGCTGTGAAGGTGATGCCCCTCCAAGAAAAAAAGGATGGAGGGGTAAAAAAAAGGTTAGTTTCGAGATGCTAGGTTAGCAGCTTTGATATGTAAAAAATTAGGTCGTTCTGGAACGCTTCCGTCTCTGAAATGCCGTGTTCCAGGGGTTTGGCGGGGTGCTGAACTTCTGCTGAGTGGCTTGTGTCTGCTTTGTTTGGGGCTTTTGGATTTTTAAGGACGAAAAAACTAGCGGCTTGCATACATAAGAGGTGTGTATTAATACAGTTTATGAGTAACGTCCTGCAAACGTATAGGTACCTACCTGGTAGGGATATAAGCTCGGAAGCACCTCTATCTCCTCTTAGCGGTTCTCAGGGGTGTAAGCTGCAGAGTATATCACATCCCTTTCGCGCTTTCGAAGCTGCAATACACCTACCACCTAGGTACATAGTACATCATTCCATACAGGGGGAGTATTAGGTAGCTGAACGTGGATGCGGGTAACACGGCAAAGGTAAGGAGGAACAAGCCGGGAAGGAAAGTGAAGCGCAAGAAGTATGGGAGGTAATTGGGAGATAATGGCTTTAACAATACCTGTTTGCTACATAGTATCTTTCTTCATTCTTAAGCTGCATGTAAGGTCCATGCCTCTTGTGTTGGTGTAGAAAACCCGGAGCGGAACCTAAACCGTGCTCGTGCTCTTCAAAAGTTCAAATTTTTTATTCAGTCTAATGATGCACCTCAGATCCATCGATACGTGTGGGTTTCAGCGCCAAACCGACGTAGTCCGTCGATCTTTTCCTTCTTTTGGGAGGCAAGAAGAAATCGTACAGTCGGGAAGTCTTCAAAGAGCGGAATACTAGCGTTTGGCGATTCTCCCCTGTCTAAGGTTAGAACCAACGAACTGCGAAGGATTCCGAGGCGAGTCCCGAGAGGCAAGGAAGAGCGAGCGACAAAAGGGAACGGAATATGGTGAGCTCTTCGGTCACCACCCCGTAAAGCTCATGTAAAGCTGTAAACAGCCGAGATGTATCCTAGGTAAGCATACAAGAACAGCGTTGATATTAATTTAAGGCAATGTATAAATAAATAAATTTGTGTCATGTTAGGTAAGGTATCTTAAAAACATCTAAGGTGTATGCACGCAGCAGAGCAGATGGAAGTGCTATGTATATGTAGGTACATTGCATGATATATCCTAGAAGTGGCTTGTGCTTCTACCACTCAAAACTCTTTATCGAGTCTTATTACCTAAACCAGCGGGCTTAGCTACGTGCTCAAACAAGTCAAGTACCTAAGCTAACCTAAGGTACTATGTATACCTAACCCACTTCGCTATTCTGCTATTCTTCGCACTTACACTGGACTTGGGCACATCCTAGCTGCCGTTCGTAAATTCAGTGGGCAGATTTCGTTTTCACCACCAACATGTATCTTGTGGACCTCTTCCAAGGTTTATCTAGTTACATCAATTGTACTAGGTATTAAAGATTAACACCATGGTCTAAAAGCCATTTCATGAGCCCCGCGTCTTTAGAATCCCACCCCGGTTTCCGAATTTCCCTGACCCCAGCCCATTTTCACGGTAGTTTACTCCGTATTTTTTTTTTCTGTATGTGTGGAGAGCTGAGTATCACCATCCTTCCTTTTGCTTACTTCATTGTACACACAACTTCGATTCCTCCTTATACTACATCCATACTTCAATACATTGGATGTTTTACCAACTCCCTCCCCTCCCCCCTTTTTTTCTTTTCTCTCTTATTTCTCCGTGTCATTTGTTCGTCACATTGTTCAACCCCAATCTCCCCCTTTCTTAAAGCAACTTATTTGCTACGTCCGAATCCGATGGGTTCGCTTCTATGACAACCGCCGAGCCCAGAAAAACTAAAAAGCTCGGCAGACCTGACTTTACAATCTCCGCGCCGTTCCGGGGGTTCACAACTTTCGGCCCATCTGCGGTTGGAAGAATTAATTTGTAAAGAGAGAGAAAAAAAAAAAAAGGCGTGATCCCGCTGTTTGCTATCCTTATAATACATCACCTTCTCGATTCCTCGGACAGAAATAGCAACATCAAGCGAACCCCGCCAATTCTACATTATACTCACACATGTCAATCTATATTTCCTAAAGACGAAATTAATTAGACGGATCAATCGGGGACTCTAAAGCTGCAGACTAATTTGTACATCAAAAAATACTACCAAACCTTAAGACACATTTGTAAATTTTTCAACTTTGAGGCGTACTGGCATGGCGCCCAATCCAGACTCTGATCAACATAAACGAAAAAGAGACATATCTGATGACAATGGAAGTCAAGCGCCTCACGCTGATCGCATACCACAACCTCCTCCACCACAGTCAGGTAAGTCTTATTCACCCAACCCAATATACACTTACACATATCCACATCTCCTTAGGTAACGCCCAATTGAGGATGCAATGATATGGTCGCGCCTTGTTTCGTATCATTACTATGTTATACTACGTTTTACTATGAAATACTTTTATTTCATTCGTGTATTATATATCTTTATATTCAACTATTTTGCTATTTCTTCGCGAGATGAATCCAATTGACCACGTCTTGGTCACGGCTAGGAGTGTATTCGTTCCGCGCAAAAAGATACTAACCGATCAATATTAAAGGCACGATAGCCCCTATCAACTATCTGTCCAAGGCCCATTCGGTTAAACTTAAGCTCATACAGGGCGATAGCGACACCTTCTCCGATGTTCTCACCCTAGTCAACGAGTATGAGGGTGAGCTGCTTCCGCCTTCCCACTACTCTTCCTTGCCTATTACAAGGACTGACGCGATGACTCAGGAGTGTTGAATAGACACGAAAGCCTTGCTTCTAATTTAGGAGCGAAATTGACGGGTAGTCGCCTGCTCAAGGCGATGGAGGGCGCCTTTGAGGGTTCAATAACGACGACTCCGCCGCAGACGATATTTAGCCCTGATCCTGTCACGTGGCTCGATATTGTCGAATTTGCCAAGGCAAAACCCGGGGAGTTTGTATTAACACCTTCTCCTAATGGCGGACGTTGCTGCCAGTTCCCCCTGAAAGGTATCCAGGTCGAAATTGGGGAAGACGACTGGAGATTAATAGTATCTGGCGCCTTGGACAGGTTCAGACTTGTCCCTCCACAGCCGTTGGAAGAAGATGAGACAGCGGAATTAGCAACTCTCGAGATCGTCGAACAGCGTCTGCAGGTTTTAATCAAGAAGGCCGATGAAGTGGCGCGTAGGGCCCGCCAACTCAACTACCATTTGAGCGGACGAAAAGCCTCAATACATGCGCGACGTGCGTCGCAGTCGGCTTCCGGCTCCACCTTCCAAGCCGTAAACCAGTCGATGGGCTCTGGTGCTAATCCTGGTTATGATTTACATGCCGATCTTCTCCAGCAGTTCCTTGCCCCCTCGCAACCTTCTAGTCACCGGATCTCTTCCGTTGGTTCTATACCACCAACGCCTAATCCAATGGCTGCTACTACAACATCGACGCCAAGAACCTCTATTCAGCAACAACAGCAAGCTCTTATAGGTAGCAACCGGCCTTCTCCCAGCTATCCCACCGAACCAGCCATGAGGGATGCCGAAGAAGAGAACCGCGCCTTGGTAACGGCCAAGATCGAGAGACTAGCACGCGGGGACATTATACATCCACCATGTGACAGATGCCGGAGGCTCAAGACACAATGTATAAAACATTTGACCGCTTGCCAGGGATGCACAAAGAAACACGCAAGATGTGTATGGAAATACCTAACAGAAGAAGAGGTAGCTTGGCTCAAAGGGGAAGCCGGTGGAGATGGAGACGATGACGGAGATGAACCGAGGGATCCCAGCAGAGCTATATTCGGACCCCAATCACATGTCGAATTCGGCGAACGGCGTCGGGAATCGGAACACGGCGAAGAACCTAGCACAAGTAGATCTGGTTCAAGGATAGCTATCGGCAGACCTGCCGACGATGTCTGGAGAAAGGGGCCGGAGACGCAAATAAGTAGGCATGAGACCATGGAGGTAGATGTAAGAGATGCGCGCCAGGGACAAGAGTACCAAAGGAAAGAAGCGGGTAGCGGGATGTTTAGGGAGCCGAAGTCAATGCTTAGCCATATGGCTTCTGTTGCCTCCGCGGCGGCAGATGCTGCTGTTATATCACGGGGGAGTCATCCACATTCGGAATAAGTGCTACGAAAACAAGGAAGCAACTATTTTAGCTGTATATAAACCGTATATCGGTTAATTATCCTGTTCATTCAGATTTCTGTTTAGGTGTTGGCACCCTGCATATACCCGGATAGCGTATGGCCGAGATTTAAGGAGGCGAGCATTATAACTTGATCTTTTTTATATTAGCTTATTTTCCGTACCATTATTTGACATAGGTAAATAGAGGTACCTAAGGTAAATATTAAATTTAAAATTCGAGATATACCTTATACATTGTATTATCCAATACTAGTTATTCGATTTTGACGTTGAAGTGAGATTCGAAAGTGGTGCTAGATTACCTGGAGTAAGACACCAAGTCTCAAACCTCAACAAGTCTTGAGAACTAAGTGTCTTATAACATGAATGTACCTCCTAAGGTATCTGACCCCGCTGGTCACCTCCGGGGCGACCTATACCTGCTTACATAGTACAATCCCCCCCTCCAAACTTCCCGAAAACCAGGCTCGCGGGTGTTTGAGGTACAGTTGACTGGGGCCCACTTAATTAACAATCGAGAAGCGCGCTACATAATTTAGGGCTGCTCTAATTAGACGCGACGGGATAAGAGATTGTGGCGTCGGTACCCATTAAAAAAAAAAATAGAAAAAAAAAGTCAAATCCAATGCGAATCTTTGACGTCGCTAACAGCGAAACTTCAAATTTTCCAAATTCAAACATTAAATCCACTCACTTGTTAACAACACTTATTAAACTAAAACTCCACCACTCCATACAAAATTACTGTTCTGTAGAACTACAGCTGTAAAACTACAGCTGTAAATATTTGAATGGAGTGTCGGTAGTAAATACTTATAATATAGTTGCCTCTCCAATTGCATCTATATTAACCGCACAGAACTCATTTATAGCCGTTATCGCCATATAACGGGTTATGGCTCAACCGCCGCCCCATGCAACTTACACAATGAACAGCTCCGAAAAGCGTCGCGATGGCGCATTCCCAATACCACAGCAGTCGCCGCTACCGCAATCGCGCGAGCTTGGTCTTGTAATTCCTGAGCCCACAACAACATCGTCGCCGTTCTCTAGATCTTGGCCACACTTAGTCGCCGGAGGGTACGTCATCATGATTCTCTTCCTCGTCTATAGAGCTTCTTAAAGTTGGAAAAGGCCCTCTAGAAGAAATGCATTTTTTATATATATATAAAAAAAAAAGGCTTTCGCTAAGGTTCTTTATTCTTGCAGTATCGGAGGCATGACGGCGTCTGTATTAACAGCACCTCTCGATGTCCTCAAAACCCGACTTCAGTCCGATTTTTATCAGGCCCAGCTCCGAGCGGCGCGAGAAGCGACAGGCAAAACCCGTCTTGGCCCATTGCAGTCAGCCAAATATCACCTACAGGAAACCGTGCAGATCCTGCGTGACGTGCATAAGACAGAAGGGTGGCGCGCACTTTTCAAGGGTCTGGGACCGAATCTGGTCGGCGTCGTGCCGGCGCGAAGCATCAACTTCTACGTATATCCCACGAGCAAGAGAGCGTATTCCCAATGGCTAAACACATCCCCGGAAAATCCGGTCGTGCATCTCGCCAGTGCGGTAACGGCAGGGATCGCCACAGGGACTGCGACAAATCCCATATGGCTGATCAAGACTCGACTGCAGCTCGACAAGAATAATGCCGAGCGCAAGGGCGACGTAAGCGCACGTCGGTACCGCAACAGCTGGGACTGTATCCGGCAGGTGGCGCGGGATGAGGGTTTACGGGGCTTCTTCAAAGGTCTGAGCGCAAGTTATCTTGGCATCACCGAGAGCACTCTACAGTGGATGATGTACGAAGAAATCAAGCGCAAATTAAGACTCAGAGAAAAGCGCATCGTGGAAAGTGGGAAAGAGAAGACTTGGTGGGATCACACGGTCGACTGGACCGGAAACTTTATGGGCGCCGGTGCGGCCAAGGGCATAGCGTCCATACTGACATATCCTCACGAGGTAAGTTTTTATAGCGACTAGGTGGCGACGCCTATGAACTATAATTGGTATTATTGCTATGCATAAAAATGCGTGGCTAACATGAGAGCTAGGTCGCGCGGACTCGACTTAGACAAGCGCCGATGTCAGATGGCAGACCTAAGTATACGGGGCTTGTACAATGCTTCAAACTTGTCTGGAAGGAAGAAGGCATCGTCGGACTATATGGTGGTCTGACGCCTCATCTCATGCGCACCATCCCCTCGGCCGCAATTATGTTCGGCATGTACGAGGTTATCATCAAGTTCCTCGGTGCAAAGAGTTAAAGGACAAGACTCTAACGCTAGACGCATATTGATGCACTCTTCTTAGATGACTTAAGTTCTACGAGGATCGACGGATATGATGGTTTGACATCCACGACGATTTTGTAATAATATTCACTTGGTATTTGCAACGAGAAGGAAAGGTAATGCTGGGACGATTGATAACACCTCAAGCTCGGACAGGATACCCCCAAGGACCGCAGGCATCAGATGAAATCATTCTAAGTAACTATCTCGCCCAGATCTCCCCGCCCACGCCCGTGTATCGGACATGGTGCAGATGCTGACCCACCACTACACTACCACTACTGTATATCAAAGGAAACTACCATAGAAAAAAAGAAAAAGGTTGGGTCACGATAGAAATTACGAAAGCAGGAGCATGGTAGGATTCTCGTTACATAGCCTGCTAGGTATACCCAAGCAAAGCCGGACTGGCGGGGTACCTATGATCTATACGTGTACGGAATGGTATATAGCATGATCGGCGTTTTTTTAGGAGGGTAAAAAAAAAAAGGGGGGGGGGGGGGGGGGGGCCGGAGGATGAATGGAAGAGAATGGGCCAGAATAAGGGGGAAAGTAAGGAGTTTAGAAAAAAAAGAAACAAGGGCGGCTGATACGGGGC